AACTCATACAAGGAAACAAATAGTACCTAACAATAGGTCGAATAATAAACCATGGTCTCCACAAGGTCCTAATCATTTTTTATCCCCTGCGTCCCTGTCAGCGTTGAAAAAACAGCTGGTAGGGATGTCAACACTCCTAAACCGTTAATGCTGGCTCCCCCTTTGCATGAATATAGAAACAGTCTAGTTCACCCGCATCCATTAAGCACACTTGATACATGCACAAGTTTAGGTCAAATAAAGATCCCTAACCACGTTTCTGGCTTAACTAGAAATAAAAATGCCTTAGCCTATAGCAAATCCAGTACTCCAACGCTCAATTCTTCACTGAAAACAGCACACACCAACGCGATAGACATAGATGAGCGTGATGTCGAAACTCCTCTTAACATAGGGTCGTCATGCCAAACAGTACTACTGGGTGCTGAACCATACTCGGGGCTGATTAACGAACTTAAATACTTCAAATGCTACTTCAAATCTCATCTTTACTTGATCCTCATAAATGCTAGATCTGTTCTAAATAAACTGCCAATGCTCAGAGCACTCACAGTTATATACAAACCCCCTATAATTGTCATCACTGAGTGAATGTGTCTCCAATGAAATAAAGATTTCTCCTGAAATCAATTCCTTCTCACATACTCTATTTGTCAATAAGTGAGAAATCCGAATCACCACCTATACATAGCCAATTAACCAGGATGTCTAAGAAGTAGTGAAAATATACTGACAGCTGCATTTTTAATCCCACCAAATTATATGGTTCTATTTCTGTAACAATTTGATGATGCCTGTAAACTGGCGTCCCTCATGTACTGTACTATGAGAATAAATTTATTTATTTGTTTATATCTGATGGTAATATTCTGTTCCTGCAAGCTTCATTCGACATTTTGTATTCAATGGTTTGCATCCATTCTGGTTCCTGACCGAAATAAACTATGAAACCCACCGGTTGCTGGCTATGGTGTTTCATTAATACTTCACATGTTTAACTGGATACTAACTGCTGTGGTGAGCCTCTCGCAGATTATGTTGTTGAAAACAATTTCAATAGTTGGCTTGTAAGGATTAAATTCATTTCTTACGAGTTGATCATGGGTTGATATCAGTTAGAGAACTACTGAAAACCCGTGAGTACTGGACAGCTGTTTCATCCTAATTCGGAAATCATCGGCAGTACAAGTTAGTAGAAGACAGAATTCATGGGCCACGCAATCGTGTCCCAGTGGCTAAATGGTGAATGAGTTTGCCTTGCAATTGGCAGGTTCCGCGTTCGAACACTGCTGGTGGGTGCGTACTGCTGGTGATTCCCGAAGTAGGATGAAACATCTGTTCAGTACTGCTTGTTTGTTTTCAATGGTCCTCTAACTGATATCAACCCGTGAACGACTCGTGAAAACATTACTGTTGGTAAACAAGCCATTTTTATGCTTTTGTGGATAGCCCACCGTATCGGCCACGTGTAACTCAACCTTCAGCTTTTACGCGCTTGTTTGACAAATTCAGACAATAATGACGCCTAGGATTATATCATTTAAATTGTTTTGACCTACGTAAAGTGTACTTACCGACATTATTCCATTACCTTTCCTCGCATGAATATCCCGTGCAAGTGAAAATTGCAAATATGCTTACTCCTTGTGTATAATATTTGTCATATTGATGATGCCTGTAAAACGGAATCCTTATTGTGCACAAAATGGGATTACATTATTAATACTTTCTTCCATTCCCTCCTCAAGATTTGCCCATCCTCGTGAGTAGAATTAGTCTGCGACCCGCAAGATGTTTGTGCTTGATGTGAGAACTTTCCCAATCCACTGAGGGGCCAATAATGTACTGTCTGAAAAGCAACTCGTGTGAAAGTTGAGGACAGACAATGTGGGTGAGATAACGAGATAGGTGAGATAACCACCTAGCGGCAGCGTCAAAAAGATGTGTGGAATTAGATATCCGCTCTGTTGTCTAAAACGTGCTGTAGGACGCCGTTCCCCCTGCCGAGACACTGACTTAGCAGGAGGTTAACAGGAGAAGAAATTGAACAGCATCTTTTCCTCCGTGTCAGTCTCTGTTCAAAAATCAACTCAAAACTTTTGGCATAGGTAACGGTCTATTCCAAATAATCAGAGAACTATTCAGGGAGAAGTTTTTAGTGTATACGTCCGATACCATCCTACAACGACCATGTTGTTATGATTTCTGAGGCTGCGACTGAGGTGCATTTAATAATTCGCCCTAATGTATGTGAAAGGTGATGGATCAACTTTCAAGGGCAGGTGGCGTTTGGCCTTGACTACCGGCGAATGGCGACACTCATGGTATTCAAAGCCGCATTCTGAGCCAAGGGGTTTCAAGTGAAGTGTCCCTAAACTTTGTCGAGTTTGCTGTTGTCACTTGGCCGAAGTCCACTACGAATGGACAGTATTCTAAATAAGGTGAACACACGCTTTTCACATTCAAAGTCTTATGGAACAAAGGGAAATCGCAGGTGAAGCAACCTAGAACTCTATGTGTTCTATGCCTACTGTGGTCGGTTTGTTCAATATAACATGTAATTCCGAAATCTACAGCTGAGTTAATTTCAGGAGGTTCCGGTCATTTGCTTTGAAAATTAGGTGAGGATCATTATCAGCAATGCAAATCCACCTGCATTTCATGGTGTTTAATTTCAAACAGGGTCTAACTCAAAATAGTGCGTCACGGCTTGTTTCAAGATAAACATTATTCGTCAGGTTGCTCAATTCATGAACATCCGAAGAGTAGACGAAATTAAGGTCGTCGTAGTATAAGAATACTTTACCCGGGAGTAGTCATAAATGCCATTAATGTGGACCGTACATAGAAGTGACCCGAAAACGCTACCTGGTTTAACCTTAATGTTAATTTACCCAGGGCGAAATATACAGGTCTCGTTTTAGTCATCAGTATGCATATTTGGTAATGATAATGTAAAACATGCCAAGAACGTGAGCCACGTTTGATCAGTTAAGCGCACAAAATATCATTAATTTCCACTTGGTCTGCGACCAGCTTGAGGCTCTCGTTCATCCTCCATATCTACTGGATCACTAAAATCATTAAACTAATCCTCGAACTACCACGGTAACTCTCGGCAACGGAGTCTTAGTGATTACTACAGCATCAATTGGTCAACTATTGGAAACATGCAAAGGACCATGGTGACACCTTGAGCTAGAGGCTTCATTACAACACATCGAAGGGCTGTATGACATTGAAGTTGCTGACGTAATATTTACTCGCCTTCACGACTACTCATACTGACGACATATCTGTCGCAGGACAGCAAGAGTATTACCGAGTCTTTAGTCTTTCTAAAAAGGAGTGTGTCATCCACGAAAAGTCACTGGGCTTGAATTTCACTAAAAAGTTTTCTGACCCCAACCCGCCCGGTCGGCAGACACGTTTCAGCATTACTACAGACAGTTAGGAATGACCCTTGTGCTCTCACAAGTGTATGCGTATAAGGCACACTGGTGCCTGGGCTAAAACATTTTGCTAAACCTATGGTTCATGTAAGAACTTCCAGTTTATTCCACAGGCACCAGTGTCACTTCTGAAGGCTTTAGACTGACAGGTTATTTTTAAGCGAACAGATTCCTTTACCAAAGCATAGTTTTATAATGCAGCATCCAATCCGAAGAATAATGATGATCTAACTCCACTCTTGAAACACTGACGACAAGTTTCTTCACTGTCAACTGCAAATCTAGATATAAATGGTCTTACTCGTGATTCTTCGCTTAGATGGATATTAAAGTATCAGACTTGTAGCTCGACAATCCCACCAAACTGATGTTTTGTAAGACAATGGCTGAACATTTATTGTGACAGACACTAAGTGGCCTTGAGTGAAGAATCTGAAGAAAGGAATGTGAAAATCCTTGAGTTCATCAGCAAATTGTGTAATGAAATGATTGGGCCATCCCCTAACCCTAACACCTAATACGACAATTAATCCTGTTTCTGAGCGTTACAGGTAGACAAATCAGACGAGCAGAAAGCTTCGATGCAGAACTCATTGAATATTGGATAGACTAAAGTAAAGCTACCCAAAATAACAACCAGCCAAATGACACGGAACAGATCAGACATGGATAATGAGATTACACGATATAATACTGCAGAAATGAGGTGTGCAGATAATCTATGACCATGGTGCAAGCTTAAAAATACCAATCATGCGACGTCTTATGATTCGTGTGACAACGTTTTACATGAATGAATGGAGTGGTTAGAGACTGTCTCCATCCAGCCTTATTATCAACTGCAAAACATTCTTCTGCTTCTGTTGATTCGTTGCACGGGACACACATCAATTCCATGGAATGATTCTGCTGGGATTCAACCGGTAAACTATTTTGAAATACAGTCATCTCTATTTTAGGGCTGACGGTATCGACGTTCGCGAGTTGTACGGATTATACTAACGCAAGATCTTATACCAACAACTTCTATAGTGTTCGTTCTTCGAGTACCAAATGGTAAAGCAAAAGACCGAATTTTGTCGTCCAAAGTACGTTTTATATTTCGGGACAAAATAGCGGGTAGAGGTGAATGCTTAGCTAGCTAGTAATCGTGCACGCACGTGACACGACGGAGCACCAAATGGCGGGGATGCTTGACCGGAAGCCTTCAGCTAAACAAGTCGACTTAAACAGTGATGGTCAGCATCCAATGTTGAGTGATGATTGCTGTGGTTAATAATTTTGGGGAATTATTTACTGCTACACTATGAATTAATGGGGAGTAATTAGTTGGGATTGACAGAAAAATCCCCGGTGACGAATTGGAAGGCATTTCTTGATCACAGCCTGTATTACCCTCTGTGTAATTTTGTACTACATCTTTCATAATCCATAAATCCTTCTGCGTAAAGTACGTATTTTTACTATGTGACCAACTAATTATTTGTTCAACCAGGATAGAAAACATAGGCACCAAGCCTTCTATCCTCAACCAATAAATCTGAATCTGAATGTCAGCTTGTGTCGCCGTGCTTTGTCTCGTGATGTGACTGTTTTCTCATTGTCATTCGATTGCTAATATCTTCACCCAATGATGATGCCCAGTGAAAGTATGAAGTAAGCTTCATTTGCATTCATGTTGCTTAAGCCATAATGCCACCATATACAACCGAGGCACCGGGTAATTCGGCTCTGAAGGTCATGTTCGGTTTGGGATCTGCCCCTCCTAAACATGATCCACCAGCCTCAATGGAACCGTACGATCTCGGAAGAGATGGAGATCTTGGTGCTCTCAGTAATGCTCAACAAGGAGCGACAAATAAACTCAAGGTTTACACTGATAAACTTTCTTACTTGTTAGACTCAAACACGGTTAAGTAATGAACAGTATTTGTGGCAACATCCGGAAGTGAAGTATATGGTGACAGCATTTTTAAGGTATGGAATATAAGTGTTTGTTATATTTTGCAGGGATATATTGACTAAACAGCCTGAAAATGCCCGGGAACACTTCGCTGGTAAGTGGATCAAAAAGTATACATTTTCAGACTTTTTCACCAGCCCAGATCTTTTAAAAAACATCAAGACAGTCGAAAAGGAGTATGCGGAGATGTATCACGATGATGGCGTCATACGTTCTCTTGCTAAAGAAGATCTTGATTCGGAGGTTTAATCTGTAGTTTTTAAAAAACAAGAGAATTTCATATAACTGGAATCTAGGAGTTCTGTAAATACAATTGTAATTATAATCTGTGTTAATCTCAAATATACACTGGAGGATGGTTAGGTGTATTTAGTTACACCTTTCCCCACGACACTATATTGTCGTCAAACTGCAAAGTAGTGGTCAAGAATTCCAAGTGTAATTAATGTTACAAAGAATAATTTGGACAATATTTCACTAATATGTTGGACAAAGTGTTGAGATATAATATTTCATGAAAATAAAATTGATTCAGTCCCAAGCTTTTTCTCTCAAGAGCGTTTAACCTGGTACATACAACACTTATGGCATATTCAGATTTCATATTTATTGGTTGAGGATAAAACGCTTGGAGCCTATTTTAATCCTTTTCTAGTAAATTTCTGTGCTGTTCTAAACCCTTCTTGAATGAATCAGTTGAGGTTTCAGATACCATTTCTTCTGGGAGTCGGTTCCAAGAGTTTATGACTCGGTGTGAGAACCAGTACTCAACAGAAATATGATTTCTTCTTGGCTTTTGAACTCTCCTGCTATGTCCTCTAAGGTGTTCCGACTGGTGGGAAAAAAAGAAAGAATAGGGCAGGTCCGTAGTCATTATTTGAAATTTTAAACATTGTGATCAAATCTCTCTGCCTACGGTATGTATGATAGGGAGAAGAGATTTAAACTGTCTAGTCTTTCCTCGAATGATAAATTAGTCATGCCGATTTCCCTAAATCTATGAAAACCAATGGGTCCAGATAATCTTCATCTTGTGTCCCTTAATTCGAAATTTTCTAGTATGTATTGTGTTCCTCAGTGTAGCTTATGATGGTAAAAATTGGTTGTGTGAAATGAGTTCTTGACCGAATAAATTCTCTTTTTGTTATGACTGTAAGACATGGCCATTAAGAATTGAAAAACTTGAAAGGTTAGCCTTGTTTTGACTACAGATATATACGTCCTGTCTGCTGTGTTAGAGGGTTAATGTGGTGAGCAATTTTGGGGATTATGCGTAGTGTTAGGTGAACAGGGGGGGAGGAAGTCAATCTGTGAGGTTACTAAACTACCTTGATTGACATGGCTGGGACACGTCACGCACGACGGGCCACCACCTTTCCCCGACGAGCAATTTCAACTGATATAGGATTAGTCTGGGAAAGAATGAGGAGTGGTCATTTCAAAGCCCAACATTAGTTCATAAAGTATTTGACAGCTGGTTTGGGCGAACTACGTTGATTTAAACCAGACTTGTAGAGAAGTGTAGATTACCAGGTTGGGATCCTTGGGATGCCAAGTACCAATGACTGGAAACTGTTGATGATATGACTCAAAGTCGTTGTCAATGGCGCAGATGTAATAACTCCTTGCAATCCTCGAGATGCGTGAAATCCTCATGCTTTTCGATGTTACCATTAATAATAATATTAATAATTTACTTTATTCCAAAACAGTACTTGTGATACAGAATGGACTTCTCAGCATTTCACTACAGTATTGCATACAGTTTGTGCATTAACAATAAATAAAATTCTACATAGATTATGGGTAGTCTCAGTTAATTTTGACAACAACATATTAGCATATCGGTAGCAAAGCCAAAAGTGAACAGAATGTTTGAAGGTGTTAGAAAAGCAGATACTAGCATATTTACTGGCGTAAGCGGTAACAAATGTCGAGATATGCAGAGTGTGAAAGAACGAAGATGAATGTTTCAAGTGAGGTTTGTAAGAAAGAGAAAAAAGCAAAACAAAAAAAGAGAAAACGTATCTATAAATGATATGAGTTGGAAAGACGAGATCCAATTGTTCTACTGACTATTTAATAAGTTATAGGTAGCACGCCTAATGCTTTCTTTATCGCACAGAACACGAGCTAAGTAGGGTATGGTTGAGTTTTTGTACTTGCTAGTACGAGCATATAGTTTTCTATTTAGGCTTCTGGTCCTGCCTGATGAGATACAAGGGGAGAGTTGTGAATGAAGAGGGTGGTGTGAGTTAGATAGACTGGATTTAGCCCATTTTTCGCATGAGTCCAAGTGCCTGTCGACCAGAATATTAACAAGCTAGTTAAGTGGCACGTTGCTTACCCTGCTGACAACCTTTAACATCCTGCGTAATAAGATATAGTCCTTCTTCAGTAGCCCTGGAAAAACTCAGGGGGAACAATAGAGAATAATAGGCAGGATGCAAGAGTTAACGAATCGTAAGAGTAAGGGTTGGGTTATTCCAGAATGTCTTAACTTCTTGGTGTAGAAGGTAAGAGGAAATATTTTCTTAGAAATCATCAAGATATGAGACGACCAGGAAAGATCAGCAGATAGAATGACGCCAAGATATTTAATTTCCGTCTTGGTCTCTATTTCAATGCTATCTACGTTGCATACCTCGTGAGTGCTAACCAGTTTGTTTAGGTCAGCTTTATGCCTAAAGGTGAAATTGACTATTTGACATTTAGAGGGATTCAAGGTAAGATCGTTTTTCATGGACCACTGGCTGATTTCTGATAAAAAGCCATTTGGTTTTGAGCAGTCACTTTGACATTTGACAGGTAAAGATACAGTCAGATCGTCAGTATATTTAACAAAATTAATGTCATTTGAAGATCATTTGTCATTCTTTTTGTTGTACAGTTTTGCTCATTATAGTATTTTTGAACTCCTTTCTTTTCTCTACCTTTGGGTTCTAAACAGAGTGTGGTGACTTGAATTAGTGCACTTTTGTGCATAGTTCTATGCTGAAATTCAGTCAATTGGTCTTTTGAGTTAAACAGACTTAACTTAGTGGTGGCAGATTAACCAACCATTAATTAAGAGGCCTAAACGGTGGACGGTGAGTGGACATGAGATTCTGCAGATGTGAATCAGTGCAAGTTGATGCACATCAGTGTTATATGTAAAAGTAGAGGAAAGGAATATACTTGTACTAGAATGGACAGGAATTTTCAGGGGATATAACTTCGTAATGCTTTTCAGATTTCGGAACATCATAAGTGGTGAACGCATCCGTAGCAGAGTTAACGATTTGAAGCCATGTCGAACAATATTGTCGTACCACCCGACTGGCTTTATCACTTCTCTTCCAGTGAACAGGTCTCCTTTTGTAGTCTCTCTCTCTTCACCTCCTTGAGCCTGAAAAGTAGCACCAACCGTTCTCGAATAAACGTGAATCGTATTCTGACACTTAATAAAAAATGTATACTATGTAGTCGAACTTTCTCAAATAAAAATTGGTTCCTAATACCCTGAGGATCGTAGTTAGTGACTACCTACATGTCGTCGTTGGTTGACAACTGGATGCACAACAGGTGCAGTTTGGAAATTGGTGAGATTTCGTCAGCTACCAGTGGTATATAATTGTGGTGAGACTTATACAGTAATGGAGTCACTGCATTCAGTTACTTCATTTCCTATACCTAAATCAGCACCCTGTGTAAACCAGTCCTACATGATTATCTCTCGCTTCACATATGCGTATCTCATGCTCAGAACTTCCAGAAGACTCTACATTTTCTATCAGAATTATTATCTGCACTACTTAGGTCAGTTACTTCTCAGGTAGCCGGTCAGATTTCCACACAAAATCAAAATCCATAATATGTATGAGTAGTTTTTAGTTAACCTTATGACCTTATAACCTTGCCGTCACTTCATAGGATCACTTTCCATAGGCTCTTATGCTGATGATGAGCTTAAGCAGAGTGTCTTAGTGCGTACCATTCATAACAAGGCAGCTGTCTTCTTTGACTAACAGAGATAAGGAACAACCTGATGTTAAATTATCCGGCTAAAGTGAAATCCAGTTTCTTGTGTATTTCAGCACTTGTCGAAAACTACGTTCCATCAATGTTCCCATCATAATCTCAGCTTGTTTAACCCTATTTCACTGCGTCTCCATATCTGTAAAGCCCAGGGCAGTAGGCACTATAGTGGATCAAGTTAATCCTACAAACATTTACTCCCTTTTTTTGTGAATTCGGATGATTAGCGGAATATGGAACGGAAATTATGTTGAGTTCCTTAGTTAATTTCATATTAAACAAGTATAATAATATTATGGGTAAATCTCAGCTACTGTAGTAGTATGTAATTCCATATTAATTTGTTTATTAGATATGTCACACAGTGAGACAGTACTATTATTTACTGGATGACGTTTCTAGCACACAACTTATTGTTCATAATGTCCTCATGAATTATGACCTCACAACTTTGAAACTCTCGTTTTGTAGTTCTCTCTGTTCTTTTCTATTCGTAGTAGGCGTGGTGGAATTTTCCAGATGTTAGGGTGGACAGGTGTTGGATCATTCGTGTTACACGTATTTTCAGTTGATTTGATAAATAAAGCTTACGTTAGCAACATATCAGCGTGGAGGGAGAGGTTGATAACTGAAACGTGTAATAAGAATGATGCAACACCTGTCCACCCTGACATCTGGAAAATCCTACCACCCCTACAACAAATAGAAAAGAACGGAGAAAACTACAAAACGAGAGTTTCGAAGTTGTGAGGTCATAATTGATGAGGAGATTATGAACAACAAGTTGTGTTCGAAACCTCGTCCTCCAGTAAATAATACCGAGCGATATATCTAATATAGAAAGTCAAAACAAGTGGTGATTCAGCGATGAGACTCTTTTCAACAACGAATTTATTATCAAGCTGTACAATCATATATACTTATGGCCTTTTTAAGAAGTTATATCCAGCGAGGGAATTGAATCATAGGTGTGAATGCATAAAATAATAATATTAGTAGTAGTATGAAATGCAATTAAAATGTTCGTGATTATAATCATGGTTAAATGTCAAGTAGCAAAACAATGTCATACACAGAATAATACATAGGATGGATAGAACTTGGAAGGGGTGTACAGTTATACGATTAGTAGACAAATCGAATCAAACAGAATTGATTGAGAATAACAAATTAATGTGGAATTAGATAAGTTTCTTTAAAATATCACACAGTGATGCAGTATTAATAACTGGACGAGGTTCCTAGCATAAATTATCGCTCGTAATCATACTTCGTCACACGGCTTCACGATTTGTCTGATATATCTATACACTTCTCTCTCTCTTTCTCCCTCTTGTTGTTTGTTGTCACTTTCCATATCTCCGGTATAAGCGTCGCATGATTTCGATTGCACGTGTGCGGTGTGGAACGGGTGAACGAAGATTCAATGAATAGCCCCTGTCTCTCCCTTTCTCAATCTAACTATATTACATTTTAATACCCCATCACCCTATCGTGTGATTACATGCAAATGAATGTAATGCA